GAGCCAGGCACATAGGAACCTCGAGGGAGAGAGGTTGTAAGCTACACTAGTGCACTATTTAGACAAGCTAATCGTAATGATATGTATACAGTATACTTCATAAAATAAAATTAGCACATGTTGGTAGCAGCGTCAGTCTAGAATGATTCCCCAAGTAAAATTCCGCCAATACACGATCTCGATTCTGATGTTGCCATGACAACTGTCAAATCTCCGGCGAACCGTGAAAACGTAAATTTGCTGCTATTCTACGAACCGCAGCAAATAGCAACATTTCACTGCAGTCAATCAATCAGTACTTAGTGTAAGACCTCACTATTATGTCCCGACGTTTTCTTCCCATTTTCTACGCGGGTAGCCTGCTGAACAGGCGGATTAGCAGAGCAGACCGCGAAGCGTGATACACGAGCGCGAAGTCGCTCAAGTGGTCGCGCTCCACGCTCGTGTATCGCGTTTCGCTCTCTGCCCCTCCTATCCGCCTGTTCTGCAGGCTACAGGCAGGTAGATTGTGCAAGCGAGCGAGCAAACGAGCGTTCCTGGAGTGAGCAAAAAAATGGAGAGAAGCTGGGAGGGGGTGTCTTTACCCCGCCTCTCCCCCTGCTACATTTTTCGCACTCGCTCGGAGTTTCGTTCTCTTCGTGTTCTTCTGCAAATAAAGAACGCCTGCTACGTGCGCAGGCAAGAACCTTTAGTAGTTCTACTACCTGTAGTAACTGTAGCAGCTGTAGAACCTGTAAGTAGCTGTAGACCTGTAGTAGCTGGATCTAGCTGTAGAACCTGAAATAGCCGCAGCAGCTGTACAACATTCACTAGCTGTACTGAAGTGTATTAGCATAGTGGTCCTGTAGTAGGTGTAGGCTTATGAAGAGGCTCTCTAGTTGACGATGACCGGGGGCGAAGAGAAAGCGGGAGAATGAGGATAGCAGGGCCGTGGTCAGAAAAACGGCAACAGGAACATCGCTGAACAAAAAGATTTAATGAGCAGAGCAATATACTAGTAATATAATTTGTACATTTCTTTGCCGTCCTCTGTAAAACAACAACTTGAAATGAGCAAATTCTGCGTTGAAGTGTGGAGAACGTGAAGCCCCCCAGCCCCTCCTTCTGCGCGGTCCCTGCTTTACAAGCAGTAAACAACAAATAATGCTCAAAAGCACTCAAAATGACTTATTTCAATGGAACTCTCATCGTGATACACTCTCTGATCAGTTCGCTAGCGGGCACAGAATTTGAAAGTATTAACCATGCCTTTGAATATGTTAAATCCTTACTAAAATCACTTCAAGTGCTTTAAAATTTTTTGCTTATTATTATTATTATTATTAGTATTATTATTATTATTATTATTATTATTCTCTTTTTGCTAAAAAAATGCCTATTATGCCGGCATTATGCTCGATGCTCTGACCACAGCATTACATTCTTTATTTTCAGAGTTATAAGAATATTGTTTTTCCGACCGAGGCTGAACATTCCTATTTTTCTGCCGATTTTAGGCTGAAAATATTCTTGTGAATATTCTCAGATTATAGCGTATGACATTTCTGTTTCCGAACGCATTTACTGTCTGGATGGTATAAGAGAAAATTTGCGGCATGTAGTACTTCCCGGAACACCGGAACACGGAACAGCGGAACATCTCGGAACAT